CCTTCACATTTGGCAAGCCATTGAAAAATCTTTACTTCGTCCAATATCGAGCGAAAGAATAAAAAAACTGTTTATAATATTTGGTATTTTTCTGCTTTTTTTAGAAATGCAGACCAAATGATATCCTCAGAATGCAAAGAAAAATAACTAATATAAACAGTTTTTTTATTCTTTCGGTCGATATTGGACGAAGTAAAGATTTTTCAATGGCTTTCCAAATGTGACGGTAGAAACAACCATACATGTAAATAAAATTTAAATCTCTTAACAATAAATTCTAGTCTTTTCCCGAACATGGTTGTCCTGACTCATCATCTGTAATCCCAAGAGATTTAAACGATTTTAATATACTTTTTAATATGTTTGTGTTTGTGTGTATGTAATTTGTATTTTAATATGTATATTTTAACATAGCTCTTCTTTTAAACCAATAACGACTGTGAATGTATCTTTTAGACAAACTGATGATGGTGGAGAAAAACACCGAAACGTATTTGCAACCTTTTAAATGATGAACAACAAAATTGACTGGAACCCAGGAATTTCTTTTGAATTAACTTATTTATGCTCAAAGTATTTTATCAAAATGTCCATAAACCTTAAGCAGTCTGATTTTCTGCGAATTGCGAAGATAATTTTCAGTTCTATTAATTTTTTTATAATTTTTTTACTCCTCTATCTTCCCTCCAGTACAATGAGTACTATTTTGAACCCAATTGAATGGTGTTATCAAATAGATTTTTTCGGAAAATGGTATAATAGATACAAATTTAATCTGGGCAAGAAACTGGTTTAGGTAGACAAACCGACGCAAATAAGTTAATTGGAAGTGATTTGATTACAACATTTTCTTTCCGTGATAATGTTTTTTATCTACGATGTAATCTTTTTTTTAGGATTTCCTCCCGGTTTTATAATTGACGATGTAATACCGCCTGGTCAGCCGACTGCAGCTGGAAGTAAGTCCTTAACTGCTTACTTTTTAGCTAGCGTCACTTGACTAGGATGTAAAGTATATTTTTTAAAATTAAATAGGTAGCGTATGTGTATCTGTGTATCTATTCTTGATGGCTAGGAAGTAGAACAGTCGAGAGAAGTGGGCGGGTGTGTTTTATGCCAGTCAAAGTTGATAGAAGGAGGAACGACCCAGCAGAAAAGCTTGCTCCCCATAGTTCCCAACCTCAAATTTTATATATTTACGATTTGTTTTAGGTGGTTTTTCATCATGGCCTTTGCTCATACACTATAAGATATATCGGATCATATACGTCCTGGAAACATTGACAGTTTTTAGGCAAAAAGCGAAATGTTAACATAGTTTTTAGGTATACGCGGCATTTGCAAAATCGTTTCAAACATGACGCCACCTTTTTGTTCATATCTCAGAAACAAATTGTGCCAACACGCTTATTTCTGCACCAATGGAATGAGAATTAAATAATAGAGTTCCGAAAGTACATTACTTGGAAACTTTGGCAGGTTTCACTCCAAACCCCAAATTATAACAACTTTAGTTTTACGCGGTTTACTCTTTAGGGCTAGGTGCAAATTGATACGCACACGATGCGCATGAGACGACCGTTTAAACCGAACTTGCTTCAAGCGTAGCGCCGGGCTCCGCAAATTGAGACGCAGTGCGTATCAGTTTCAGTTAGATCGGATTTCGGCTCGCGTTTGCATTGCGTTGCATGAATGATTTAAAAAGAGAATGTATTTATTTAAGTTCTTTGAGTTCAGATTCAGATAGTGAGGCTTAACTCCTTTGCAATGTCACACCAAATTCGAGTCTTCAATTTGGCTTTCATATAGTTAGTATGTTTTGTATCATACAACTCCTGCCCATGTTCTCGGACTATTTCAATTAACCTCTCTTCTGCCATTTCAAATCAATTGCAAATTATCAGTGGTACTATTATTAATATTGGTACCTTGTTCAAATAATATTAAACATTTAGTAGGCAGTCGTTGGGCCTGTAATCTTGTAAATGCTGAATTTCGGCTATAGTGTTGAATTATAACATTATATCTAAAATTGGTTCAAAACAGCTCTTTTGCAAATCTTCGTTCTTTGTGGGAGCCAGAAATTGTTCGGGGTTGGCGATGTTCTTGTTCGCGTATATCCCTAGAATTGAAGGGCATCAACAGGATCTCCTTTGGTCGACGCAGTTTTGTTTCAAACTAGATTTAGTTTCGTTTTCTAGGTTCCAAAAATGGGGTTGCTTTGTCCCGTCAGAGCCTTGTACTCCTGCGGGCGTTTTCTGTCATCATTGGCAACAAATCGGAGAATTGGGACAGAGAATGAAACCTAGAATTATAAAAAAATTAATGAGAACAAAAATTATAGCAAACGGGCTTACTAAAATTAAAGAAAAATCTAAACTAGCCAACGGGCTGGGTGATTTTGAAATTTAAATATAAAACATTAAGTGACGACACAACGGGTCGTAGACAAACAAAATAAAATTATTTATAAGATTAATGATTGGAAGCAAAGATTAACTTAGTTTCATTCCTCCAGGGATGCCGGAAGGGTTAACCCGAACCAAGAAGGAGCACAGCGAAAAGTCCTTTAATTGTAAATTTAAAAGAATACAAAAACTCTATGTTTAAAAAATTAAAATGGTGTAAATTATAATATTTAAGTCGGCGGCCTGAAGAAGTTGGTCAGGAATCACCGAAAAGTCCGGCACACGAACGACGAAACGTTTAAAAAATGTATTCCAGAACTTATTGAAAGTCTGGAATCAGGCAGAGTCTGACTTCTCAGGTGCGCTTCTCCCGTCACAGAAGGTGTCGCGAAAGGGTTCTTTATTCGACTCCCTTTGCTCAAGCTGTGCCCGCTTCTTTATATTCCCCACTAGTTCGCGAGAAAAAAATCCAATTTACTAAAAATTACATGAGTGGAATCCTGCAGTCGGTAGTTCCCCGTTCTTTTGAAAAATGAAATTCGTGGGTTTCCCCGAAACGGTTTTTTCCCGGCATCTCGATCGATCGTCTGTAAATAACCGCGGAGAGTGGCGCCCTGCACGAGAACCCAAAGGTTGGTACAATGTCCGCTAGAATAGAGGTTGCGGAACCTGTGAGAAAATTTCCTCAATTTTGATTGGTCACACAATCCGGCAACAGTGTATACAGGGACTACTTGCTCACTGGCTCCCCATCACTCAAGAATACTAATTTTTTTCTGCTGGGGATGGTGAGTGAGAAGAGACTCTCTGGAAGGCTCCCGGGGATACTCCCTTCCCTCAATGTCAAGAATAGGCACACTGGTGTAAGGTCGAAACGCTTCTATTAAATTTTACTTGAATCCAATCGTTCAATTTTGAGATGAGTACAATTTTTTATTGTGTTTCGCTTCCTTATAAATTAGATATAAAATACAAATACATGAATTTTACATTTGTTGTTGAACTTCAGTATAAGCATTTGTCGGGATTTGGTATAACAAGTAGAATGTTATATTATTTGAGGCGTTATTGTTCTTTTAGGTCCTGGAAATCGTTACTCTGAGCGCTTTAATGAATATATTCGTACTAACCGAGCAAGAATACAAGAATTTCGGCGTAGAACCTTAGATCGAGGTAAGTGTATTAACTTATCGTCAGCAGAATAATATACTTATCGATATATCGATCCTATCAATAGGGCAATCACACATTTATGACCTAGTAAACGGTCTGCTATGCTCGGGTTACTTAAAGTCGTTTAAATAGAGTGTATACATGGTGATTTAAAATTGGCATCATTCCTTTTAAGGGGTGATAGAGGCTCATTTGGGGAGTACGAGAAAAATCTTCAAAATTTTTTTTTTATTTCTAGAAGATATTAACAGTTGAAGATCAAATTTCAACTTTGTTATTAAGCATTATTTAGAAATTGTTCCATGTTTAATTGGTAGAATATTGGAATACTT